CCCCACACACACACACATACACAAGCACAAGCACTCGCCCAACTTAAGCCGCACCCACCCTCAGCGTCGCAATCGTCCGCCTGTAGGAGGTTGTGTGCGCATACACGCTGCCCGACCGGTAGCTTCCCGGCAGCAGCCCCAGCTCCTCCACGTACCGCCGCCTCAGCTCCGCCCCCAGCTTGAGCGCCATGCCGTAGCCGCGCTGTGTCAGCGTGCCCTGCCGGCAGCCGCCCTTCAGGGGCGGAGGGGCGGGGTCGACCACGGGCGGGGGCGGCCCGCCGGCGCTGTTCTGAATGTCAAGGGTGGCGCCCGCGTAAGACTCGTCGCACTCCCAGTCGACGTCAGGGTAAAAGGCGGCGTTCAGGGGCGTGCGCGCGCCGTGGCGGAAGACGACCTGGGGTTGTGTAGACGGATTTGGATGAACCAAGGGAGGAGGGGGAGTGGGCAGGTGGGTGTGGAGGTGCTGGCAGGCTGGGTGGTCATTGCAGGTGTGAGGCCAGAGGCCATGATTGGGCCCCGGCGCGTCTGCACGCGTCGCCGTGCGGGTGCTGATTTGCTGCAGGTCCAAGCAGATTTCAGATGCTGCCGCTGACAGCAAAAGAAGATTGCACTAGCGGCCGCCGACCGCTGCGGGGGAGACCGTGTGATGCTGCTTGCTGCTAGGACACCTCGCCGCTCAGCACCAAGCGGGCGCCACGTACTCAAAAACGCTGCGCGCCGCCCGCGATATGCTCGCCACGAGCACGCCGCATGAGGCCTGCGGTGGCACGCACCTGCGCGGCCAGCAACTGTGCGCCGTGGCCAGGGGCACCCGCGGCACCAGGCGGGGCTGGGTCCCGAAGGGCATGAAGCTGCACGGCGCCTGCCTCCTCAAGCACGGCCCGGGCGGGGCCGCGCAGCGCCGACGCGGACGCAGGTACTAGGGCAGATGAGCAGAGCACCAGTGCCACCAGCAGCAGGGCCGCTGCCAATGCGAGCGCCGCCCGCGGCCTGGGGCGCGGCTCAGGCGTGGCTGACAGTGGCATGCAAGAGGGTGCAGAGCTCGGCAGTGCGCTGCTCGACCCCGTCCTCCTCAGGGTTAGTAAGTGTGGTGATCTACTCATTCGTGCCTCGCTGAGAGCCGGTGCTGGCTGGTGAGCCAATCAGTACAAGGTGCTTCAGCTACACTCTGCGACGTCCCGCATGCACGTGTAAACGGGACACGAACAATATTCATACGTCTTCAATGGTGGCGTTTTGCGTAATAATCCATCGTGGCCGTGCTTTGCCTATTTATTCGCGCCACTTGTGATCCGCATTTGGTGGCCAGCATTTGCATGTACAAGTATGTGATTGCGATGCCAAGTATACTGTAGAGATTGTGTGTGTGTGATTCAAAACCGCACGGAGCTCCTGGGAGACCGCTCTGTATGATGCTGCGCAGCATTGGACTGCGTCATGACAGCCCACGGACCTACTGCACTCATGTACGCAATGCCACACCGCTGTTTTCCTCACTGGAGCTGTTGCTAACGACTGCCGGATTCTGTCAAGGGGCACACCTTCGTGCTCGTACTTGGGTGCGGCCTGCATGAATGCAGGCATGGCAGAGCAGTTGGTGCCCACTCTGCGACGGTTGTGCCTCAGCGTGTGGCCGTTGGCATGCACCCCTATCATATCACGATCAATTCTCAACGCCAGCCGCATCACGGAGTTATGATGCCACGCCTTGTTGATGCTACAACTCAAGCGCTGCGAATTTCAAGTGGTTGCAGGGATGCATGCATTGCATGATTGTGCTGATAAGGGTGTGAGCGTGAACACTGGCACATGCACAAACCCGGACATGCACTTTGGTAGGTGTAGGCAGGCGTATCAAGAAGCGTGTTCACAAGGCACTCATCTTAATTCTCCAACCAGGCTGTCATACACGCGATGCGCGGCATGTGGTGGGGATGTTGTGATGATGCTGCAAGATGTTGGTATGTCCAAATTGCGTGGGCTTAGACGGCCCAGCTTGCGTTCGGGGTGCTTCCTTTTGGCATGCCGCTGGTGCGATGCAGACACTGCAGTGCTGACCTTCTAGATGGTCAGAGTAGAGGCAGCTGGGTTGAGACTGCGATGAGTCTATTACAGCAAATGCAACCGGGCTTCACAACCCCAGCCACGTAATTCCTGCTGGCTTGCTTGCCAAATATACACACATAGTATTGGCACAGCGCTGGCAGTTCAGACTTTGCAAAACTCACTTTTTGTTGACACACTGCTTTGTCACGCCGCCGGATTCCTCTGCCGGCCCCTTGACTAGATGTAATTCAGGGCCGATTCCCCCGCACCGAATTCCACTCATCCCCCAGACCAAATCACATGGAGCACACCAGCCAAGTTACATGCCGCACAACAGCCAGATAACATGCAGCACACCAGCCAGTACCCGCCACAGTCGTGCGGGAACCAAGACGTCAGCTTTGCTTGGCAGCAAGACCAGCGATCACATCAAAAATGTGATCGTCCAGCCATGCATGAATGAGCCCTCCGCCTGCTGCTGACCTCGTCCGTGTCGCCGGCGGCGCCAGCCTCCTCAGCCATCAGCTCCGGGTCCGACGCGTCCTCATCTGCCTCAGCCTGGCCGCCCAAGCACACCCCGCGGATAGAGGTGCTGGTCCAGTCGGCCTCCAGGATCTGCAGTAGCACGCGCCCGATGGCCGCCGGCACAGGCAGCTCAATGCGGCTGGGCAGGAGCGGCAGGCGCCACGCGTCTGCCATCCAGGCAGGCTGCGGCTGCTGCGCCGCTGGGGACCCGATGCAGGCGATGGCATTGTCGCATGCCAGATCCGCATCCACATGCGCCACGAACCAGTGCAGAATCTCAGACGACAGTCGCAGCACCGTTGCAGCGTGCGGCTGAGGCCGGGGCGCAACAGGCTGCGGTTTTGACGGCTTTGGCACATGCTGCTGCTCCTGCTGCTGGTGCTTCCTCTGCTTCCGCGCCTGCTGCTGCTGCTGCTGCTGCTGCGGCGGCGGCGGCGGCGGCGGCAGCAACGGGGGCTGCTGCTGCTGCTGCTGCTGCTGCTGCTGCTGCTGCTGCTGCTGCTGCTGCTGCTGCTGCTGCTGCTGCTGCTGCTGCTGCTGCTGCTGCCCTGGGTGCTGCTCCTGCTTCGGCGCCACAGACAGCACACACTCCTCACCTTCCCGGGGCTTGTCTATGTGCTGCGGAACAGCCTGCCGCCGTCGCTTGGTGGAGTTTGTGGTCACTGCAAAGATCTCTATGGCCGGAAACCCGCCTGTGCCTAGAGGCACGGCCTCACAGCTCCTCGCACTGCTGCGGTTGGCCTCTGTAATCCAGACTGTCCGCATGCGCGCACTGCCCGTGTGGGTGGGCGCGCGCTGCACCACTTCGACGACATCGCGCGCAGTCCTGACCCTGTACAGCTGCTCCGGCTGGGGCGGCCCGCCGTCAGGCACACCGCTGCCACGACGAGCTGGCGCCCGGCGTCCCACCAAAAGAGGCCGCGCTCCCCCGTGGCAAGCGACGTGTTGCCGCCAGTCTCCGCGACGGCCGCAGTGCTGCCGCTGCCTTCGGCGGGCGCGCCGCTGGCAGGCTGCTTGCCTTGCGCCGGCCCCGGCGTGATGAGGCGCGCCACAATCAGCGCCTCCCACTGCAGCCCTACCTGCCGCGCAGCGTCGGTTGACGCAAGCCAGGTCAGCCAGTCGAGGTGCTGGGACACGCTTGGCAGCGACCCCAGCTTCTGCCTCATGGCCCGCTGTCCAAGCTTGATCAGGGTGTGCGTGTGAGACCGCACGACCACCTGCTGTGGGGCCCCTGCGCCGTTGGCGCCGCGCTTGAAGCTCATATTGCGCCGGAGTGCTGCCAACAGCTCACTGCCACGGCTCCCAGGCCCCTGGCCTCCACAGCCTCCATTCCCACCGCCGGCGTCGCCGGCGTCGCTGCCATTACCGCCACACCCGCCGCCGCCGTTGGCACCCAAGCCATTACCAAAACCACCCGCGGCACCTGCTGCGGTGCAGGCTGACATAGCGGCGCGTTCGACGCCGCGCGCCGGCGCGAAGGCACTCAGGCCAGTCCTGTCGATGCCGCCGCTACCGTCCAGGTTCGGCAGCCTGTTGGCCGCAGCCCCGCCGGCGCCCTCATCGGCGCCCCGGCCGGGTGGACGCGGCGGGCCGCGATTGCCGCTGCCCTGCTCGCGAGCGCATTCGTGACAGCCGTCACCGTCCTCCTCCATGGGCTCCACTTGCTGCAGCGCCTCGCAGACGGCGCCACGGCTGCCATGGCAGCTCGCGCCGCGTCTCTCTGTGAACTGCATGGTGCGGTCTTGGCGTCGATCCTTGCAGCGTCAGCAGGGGCGCGCAGCGATGCCGCACCACCGAGCGGTCAAGCCCCTGCACTTAATAGGCATACAAGATTATTTCAGCAAACAGCTAGGCTGTTCAGAGGGCTGAAGCTGCAAAACGTGAGCGCCTGAAGGGCCGCGTCAGTGCAGATCCGATCAAGCTGCTGATAGTGATCACTACGTAGTGTTACTCGTGGTTTCTCATACGACTCAAACCCTGCAGTCCAAGGGGCTTTGCCCTCACGGAACCTTGAAGACAGCCGGGCCAACAGCTTGTGCTGCCCAGCACGCTGCAGCCGAGCCAAGTCGCTGTGGTTGTTTCTGTTGTGGAAAATAAATTCTAGACTGTGTGCATAGCTCGAAGCTCTGCCGACAAACCCCTCCGGTTTCGTGACCATGTGGCCGATTGCAATGCGATCCAATGTTTGACTGTTGGTCAAATGCACAGGGCGATACTGTTGGCTGGGAAAATCCCAATCAGTGCGACAGGACACAAAGTTGAGGTTGCATTGAATGGGGCTACACTAGCATGGGTTCCTGTGTATACACATAAAACACGCAGCAAGTGCACGCGAACAGTGGGCAAAGCGGTGTGACAGATCAAAAGGCTAAGGAGCGTTGTCAGGTGAAGTGACATGCCACCAAAACAACGCTGTCCTTGCCTCCAATCACCCACGACCACGCTCAGCTGGCAATCCGGGTGCACCCGCGCTGTGCCTGAACCTGAGGTTGAGTAGGCTACTCAGCCAAGGCCTGGCCGGGGTGGTGGGGCGCCCGCCCTGCATCAGCCTGGCAGCACCCAGCGGCACATGTGAATAGTCAAGGCTGACCCATGGGGGTTATGGCGTAAGCCTAAGCCTTGTTTTGGGCGGCCCCTGCAAAGGACCTGGACACCCCACGGGTAATCCCAGCATTTTTCAGCCTTGAGCGTGCAGGCAGGTGCACCGGGTGAATTTTTGGGCCCGACTTGCAGCCGCCTCCCAGTGGTGCGCCCTCCGAGTAAGGCAGCGGGCAGAAAGGGCTCGCACCTCTCCACGCCTGCCGCCCGAGATGAAGCTGCACCTGCATGCCCTCCTGCTGATACACGCATGCTTGCCTGCTGTGCGGAACGCGGCGGAGCCTTGAGGGAGGCTGCACGGTGGCACTGGTCAAAAAAATCCCGTCAAGACAAATAATTTTGCATGTGCATGGTGAAGCATGAGATCAAGTGTTCAGCTGCTGTATTGATATGTGTGTCTGACCTGACCTCACCACCACCTGCATGTGTGTGGGGTGCGTGCGGTAACACCAGCTGTATCCAAAACAGTGAAAGCCATTGCATGCGTGTCTGCTCAGCATCACGGCCGATTGAGATGTTGCACAGACCCCCACGTTGTCAACTTGCAGTTGTTACTCAACTTTTGCACCTGACACGCAAACAGCAATTGACAATGTGCACGCTTCATCGTGGTCAATGGTGCTACCATCCGAGGTCAACTGCTGTGACGCTTCATTCACTGCACAGAAAGTGAGTTGTCGTCGCCCTGCGCATCTCATTCCCCCCTTGTGCAGCAACATGACTTTCTGCATCATGCTGCAGAGGGGATGGTAGCCTGACGCCGTCGCGTAGTCAAACTTGCGTAAAGCAAACAATTGATGAAGACAGCTGCTGCTGCCTGAACCTGGAGGCACACACATCTCCCATGCCACCAGCTGCAAAGCTGCGGCGGCGACGCCCCCACCGATTGAGATCCCGCGGTGGCCTCGCCACCTGACAGGGTGTAGCCGTCCATACCCCTTTCTAGCTAGCAGGATTGCTCCCACTTCAGTCGGTGCATCATTGCCCCACACCCGCACCCTCCACCCGTGGCGCCAGCGGCCCCGGGGCCGCCCTCGCCTGCAGCCCAGGCCCACCCTCCTCCGCCCCACCTGCCTCCTCCCCCCTCCAGCTGCCCGCAGCACCGGGTGCCCCCGGCCCCGGGCGCTGGCCGGCGGCCGCGCCCCCTCCCTTGTCCAGAACCTCTCGATGAATCGCCTCAACCGCCGACGCCTTGTGCGCGCCGGCTGGGGCGGCCGGGACCCGAACGCGGGCGTCCCGCTGTGGCGCTGTGTCGTCGTCCCCGCCCAGGGCCGCCGCCAGGGACGGGCCCTCGACGGCTGCACGCGGTGGCGCCGCCGCCGCCGCCGCAACGTCCGTCGCGGCAGGCAGCGGCTGCTCCCGCCCAACGAGCGTGTCGCTCTGGCGCAGCTGTGCCGCCTCCTGCGCCGCCATGAGTACCGCCTCTGCCTCTGCTTCGGCCTCTGCCTCATCCAGCGTCAGGCGCGGCGTGCGCGGCGCCATCGGCCCCGGCTGCACGTTGGCCGCCTCTCCCTCGTCCTCCTGCTCGCTAGTGAGCGGCGCCGCCGCCGTCGGCGCCGCTGCGACGACCGGAAGCTCCGCAGCGGCGGCGGCGGCAGCTTCCGCGAAGCCGACGTGCAGGTCTTTGGCCCGCGGCGAGGCTTCGCGCCCTGGGTAGGCCAGCGCCGCTGCGCGCGGCGTCCCGGCGGGGCGCTCTGCTGCCTCGAGGGCGGCAGGGCGCTCCAGAGGCTCCTTGAAGGGGTTGGAGGGGATGGGGGCCGGCCGGCAATGCAGTCGTTGAGGACGATGTGTGGGCGAGCAGGCCCAAGCGTCCAGGTATGGAGATGCGGGAAGTATGTAGTGTGTCAATGTTAGATTGCTGGGAGCCTGGGAGGCACAGCAGTCAGTGTGCAGGGCTGTCGGCAGCAACTCCAACCAACGCAGCTCAAAATCGAAAGCAAGGCACCCAAAACAACCCGTCGCAAAAAAGCCCCGCATACCCACACACCTGCTCCTGCACCTGCACCTGCTCCTCAACCGCTGGCTCGGCCTGGTTGGGCAAAACCTCCTTCGACCTGCGCCCCGGGCTCCTCCCAAACACGCCCCTCAGCCGCGCGCCCAGCCGCAGCCCCTTGTGCCCCTCCGCCACCTCCCCCGCCGGCGCCGCCCGCGCCTCGCGCGGCGGCCGCCCCTCCAGCTCCGCGCTGCCCGCCCGCGCCGGCGGCGGCAGGCGGACAGGCAGCGCGACCGGGCGCATGGGCGGCGACGCCGCGGGCGCGGGTGCGGGCGGGGGCGCGGGCGGCGCCAGAGCAACCTCCTCCTCTTCGTCCTCCCGCCGCTCCGCCGGCGGCGTTGGCTGCAGTTGTGGCGG